GTAATTAAAGATTTGAACAGATGAAATGCACAGACAGCATCCAGTCAGTCACCTTAGCCTGCTTCTCTCATAAGCACACAATTTCTCATTATCTATTTCATCATTGTCGTCATCATTTTCCTCATTTTCATCATCAAATAGCCCAACAGGTCCATGAATTTCTTCCTCTTTCATCCGCTGAAGTCCAAACTCAGAGGGATAGACAGAAACAGACAAAATTTGTCCTCCTTTTGGTAGAAATGAGCTCAACAAGACATACAAGTCAACAGCCTAAATATCAGAAAGGAGGATAAATCAACACAAGATTGCACCAACAAAACGAAACCAAATTCAAGAGATACATAAGCCAAAAGAAATCATTAACATCATTTAACAATCAACATAACCTTATCACACGCAATGAACTAGGACTGATTCAAATTCTACCTATATCTATTTGTATAATCTTCAGAAAGCCAGAAGTGAAAGGAACACAACATAATTGAATAGCCACAAGAATCTTGAGCGAGTTTAAAACTACTGGTCAAGTGACTGTCAACAACAAGGTTATAAGGGCCAGAATCACCAAGGATACTTTCACAATGAATAAGGGGTTAAGAATGCCAAAACTTTCTTCAAGAAATAAAGGGATTATCAAATTTAATACTAAACTTCAATAGCATACCTTAACATGCCTCCAATCCATATTAACAACAGCAAGCCTGCGGGTTTCTTTTTCAATCACTGGTATGTTTTCTGCCTGCAATGGCAACTCAGAATAAGATAATTTACTCAATTAAAGAAAAATGTAGAACTCATCACTAATAAGCACTGCTTAGACAAATTTTTTTCTAAAAAATTTCAATCTTTAACATTTTGCACCTGTATTTCAGGCTCTCCATCATCATAAACTATGTCAACGTCCTCAATCTCCTCTTCAGTGGTAGACCCTGATTCCTCCCCGGATTCGGATCCGGACTCCTCTCCACTCTCCTTTTCCGACAACTCACTACTCTCACCCTCCGAATCTCCGTCCTTTTCAGACAATTCACTGCCCTCACTCTCCTCGTT